CAAGGCCCAGCTCCGAGCGGCTAGCGACCAGGGTGGCGACTTACGTGTAACCCCTCTGGTCTCTTGACCGAGACCACGCAATGCAGCTCGTTTTTATAGGAGCAGTGCACTGTCCCCCTAGCAGAAGCAGGCCGGGGTGGCGGCGAGCGCGTTGCGAAGCGCGCTCGCTTCCAGGGTGCAGAGGGAACATGGGGTTCCAACACGGGGGGTCGTCTACTCGTCTGTAGATGGCCCGAGGTATGTCGGGGCACCAGGGACTTCCTTTCTAGGGTATACCTGGTTCCCCGGCTATTAGTACCCGAGACGGCGTGCGGTTTTAGTCGGTTCGAGTCCGACATGCAACTGTGGTATCCGAGGGGAGTTCCGCACGGAAAAAAAAGGAGCAGTGCACGTGTTCATAAGTTGTTAGGTTGTGTTGGGATTGTTAGGTTTTCTTGGTGTTTTTAGATAATACGTTTGTTCTGGTTATTTCTAAATCATCATCATCATCATCAATAGCCTTTACTAGTCCACTGCTGGACATAGCCTCTTTTTAGAGAGGAGGTACTATTTCTAAATACTAACTATTAAAACTTCAATTGTAATCAATTAGAATCTAATTTAAATCAATCAAATTATTTTTATTAAGTGAGTCAATCAAATTGTTTTTATTAATCTGTTCGTTTTTTTTAATTTTCTTTTATACAAACCTTGTCCTAACAATAACAAACACAATAACAAAAGAATAATCCAATTTAGTGCAGTCGTTCAAAAATTATGAGCGTACATACACATTTCGGCGATTAATTTTTATTTATATGAGATCTGAACTTTTTCTACTCACGATATTGTTAAAAATAATTAATTACACAAGACCAGAATTTAAAAAAACTGTCTTGAAAATTACTACTAAGTAGAAAACTTCGCGAGCCCCCGTAAAGTACCGCCTTTTAATAGTTAATATATATTTTTTTACTATCGGATCTATAATATGCATTACTAATCATTTACAGGGATTCTAAAGTCCTAAAAATATCGTTTCAAAAATGTTATTAATTCACTCTTTATCATTCATTCTTAATTTTGAAATAACGGTAAATTTTTATTTTTTATCAGATATTGACATACACCATGACTCGAGAAACTCATTTAGATCTAAGTATTTAAAGTCTCAAAGGGGTAACAAAGAAGTCCCATTAATTTGCGGTAGAATTACCTTTATGTGATAAAACACCTTTTTTTTGCGTTTCTTTGACTAAATATTGTTACCCGACTTCAAAAGAGGAGGTTTTCAATTCGACTTTTTTTTTGTATGTTTGTTAAGCGATATCTGCGATTGTCTTATAGATACTCCACCGAAAAATTATACACAGATTGCAGAGTGTTATCAGTTCAACAGCTCTTTGTGCTCAAGTCCACTTTGAAAAGATATCGAAGTGTCCCTCGACCCGATCCAGGCAGACGCAGCGGGAAGTCTGTATGTCTACGCATTCCCTGTAAAACATCCTTTGCCAGAAGTCAATTTAATACCATAAGCATAAAATTATACTACGATATACACAAAAATTCAAAATCGCAGGAGTAAACACCACAAACTTAAAACCACTCTTGCAGACAGGCTTCTAAAAATGGAAAATAATAAAACTGAAGAACTACTGACATACATTACCTACACACACAAACATCACCATTTACAAGCACATAACACATAAACGTAAACACAAAATCACACACATACTTTTGTACAAGCCCCCATACATACACACACTCACCTATACACATGCCCACTCAATACCATATGGTCCACTTATGTAATATTATTTATTTACCCCTTGCACACAGCGACCACGTTCACTTGCACTAACAAATATTGTAATTTACAATAGACAGAGATACACGAGTGAAAATTGCCACTAAAAAAAAACTTAGTTTAGGAGACAGTATCAGTACCTAAAGCACAATATTAGGTCTTTACCTATGAAATTGCCGTTTTGTATGCAATAAGTGAAAGTACTTATTTTTTCAAACTTTTTTATTTCTGTTATTCGAAGTAATCACCCATGCAATCGACGCATCTTTGCCAACGCATTGGCAGTTTATTGATGCCCTTCACCAGACCTTGCACCTACCGACTATTACTTTTTCCAAAATTTAGACAACTTTTTATTGGGTAAAAAATTCAATTCCCGAGAGGCAGTACAAAATGTCTTTGAAGAGTTTGTTGCCTCCCGTCCTGCTGATTTTTACAAGAAGGGCATCAATAAACTGCCAATGCGTTGGCAAAGATTCGTCGATTGCATGGGTGATTACTTCGAATAACAGAAATAAAAAAGTTTATTGCATACAAAACGGCAATTTCATAGGTAAAGACCTATTATATTTCGTCGGCTTATTGCAAGAAGTCATTACGTGACATATTCATTATTTAGGGAAAACGGCATTTTAGTTGGAGTTAGTTAGTGGTTATGTTAATTAGCCCATATTATCCTTAATACATAAGCTTGAAATTAGTGTGTTTTTGCATTTTGTAGAATATGTAAAAATGAGCCTATTATAGATAAAAACGTATTTAGTGGTTTTTTGCAGTTAATGAGTTCTTGCAATAAGCCGACGATTTATTTGTATCTAATTATAAGTATCCTTGTGAACTGTATTTTTGCGAAAATAAAGATTATTATTATTATTATCTCTGTCAATTGTGGACCGATTTTCAAAATTCTTTTTGTAATCAAAAGTAATTCCATTACCACGGAATCTGGATCTGATAATGGAATCCCAGAGAAATTGAGGGAAACCCTCAAATTTTACAACCCCGACAATGTGTTTTAGGTTGTTTCTCTATACAGTTATTTACATATTTTTTTTAGACATTTAACACACAATGCCATCTAGTTTTCAAACTAAACAGAGCTTGTACTATGAAAGTTAGATTGATAGAATACATACATACAATATTTACATTTTTTTTGTAAATTCATACATATATATATATATATATATATATACATACATTGAAAACACCCAAATTCAGAAACAAATATTTGCAGATCATACAAATATTTGGTCCAACCCGGCAATCGAACCCGAGACCTCAGCCAGCAGTCGCATAAGCTCCCACTGCACCACCGAATCAGTCGTTTGATAGTCGTTATCTCATATTTCTAAGCTAATGATGTCAGAGTCCTTGACCTTTAGGAGGTAGAAGATAACTCTTTCAATAATAAATATATTTATGTCAACACATAAATATATTATTGAAAGAGTTATCTAGCTATCGAGAGTCATCGTCTTGTTTCATTCTTTCAAGATAGTTGTTGAAAAGAAAAAAAGGTGTTTGTGTTGGTTGTGATAGTACCTCAAAAACCCAAGTCTGAGTAAAGCAGTTTCAGCTATTAAACAAGAAGTAGCCAGCTCCTCTATCTGTGGGGGAGGTCTAACGCCCCTTCTTTATTCCGCGTTAGGCTGTAGGATAAGACACGTGACTGGACATCCTTTCACTGGCTTTTTAACGTTCGAATAAACTAGAAGAAACTACGATAAGAGGGAATCAAAGTTTAAATTTTAAAATAGTTAAATACATTGCTATTGGTTGTGCTTTGTATATCAGACTTCCATTCATTGTGCTCTTAGGTTTAGAGTGAGTCAATCAATTTCTACAACTTAATGGTGAAGGATGCAGGGTTAGACACGTAAATGCTTTCCCCTCGCCGACCACAGGATAATCCCATTAAAACGCCCTCCACTCAAGTACACGGCATGCATTAACCACATCATAAATATTCCACAATGACGGGTCACCGAAGAATAACCGTATGGCAATGACAGCGACCTAGGTGATCAACCCTGGGTGACCTCACCTCAGCTATAAATCTATTTCACTGCAGAAACCTATAAAGGGTCATTAATCATCCATCACATTCAACCATGTTAACCAATTTTCATTACGGTCTGCTCTTTGTTTGTTTAGACCAGGGATTCCCAAACTACTACTACCCAAACTGGACAAGATTACCCTTTTCTAAAATCAACTGATAAAATTACTGCATCCTTATCGACTTGTTGGGTTTTTTTAAAAGTACTACAATGATAGTTCCGACTGAAATATTGGTCATCCTTATAATATGTTGGTACACGTAATACAACGAATATCATAAAAGCTTCAAGTAAGAACTAGTGTTAATAAATGGAGGTCGATTTTAGACCTCGTCGACCCCCAAATCAGTTTTCGTTTATGTGAACCCCTGGGAAACCGATTTTGACCCCAAGGGGTCGAAATATTCTTTTTCAAGTTGTTGTTGCAGAAACCATCCTGCAGATTAATTATAAGTTCTTGGTCACAAACTAAATCGGTCTGTACTTTTTATTCCCAGTCTTCCTGAGGGCCAATTCTCGTAATAAAAGTTCGTTCAAAATTCAGTTCCGATCTACCTTCGATCTTTCAAATGCAGTCAGTACTCATTTTGATGAATTATATAATAACCTTATTATTTACTTCGTAAAATTTTGCTTGATACGGCTGACAGTCACAAAACCATGACCAGAGAAATAACATAATTGGCTAAATCAATCAATGTGTGGACTAATCGATTAATGATAGTTTGTTAAATTAAGCAAACAAACAAAAATATACGAATATATGCGGATAGGTACCTACTTATCTACGTTGGCTTGTTGATAGCAATGACAACTCATTTCTGACAGCCAGCTATCAGGGCTTTCTACTTCAGTACAGCTTCACAACAGCATCGAATTTGGAAAATCGCTTTACTAAAGTAAGAGGATTTCAGAGAATTTTTTGTTTAATCATATCGGCAAGATAATAAGCACCAATGACTATTAACGTTTGCGTAAAATTACATAATGGCATAGGTTAATAAATAAGGGTATGAAAGCGTAACAAACAAACTGCATATTTTTCTACTACAATTATTAACAGTGAATGTTATTATAATTATATATAACAGTTCAGAAGTTATTATATCTCTGCAGGATTATTAGCTTTAAGAAAACGGTCATTCGCTCTATAGAAGAGATCCCAGAAAGTTGCTCGCTGATGGAAAGGCCGACCTCCGAAGTGACAGTTGCAAGTCAATATTCAAGTAAGGTCTCTGTGATTGATTGTTAATGGGGGCCCATTGAATTTCAAGCAGATCCGATGTTTTCGGTACAGGGGTACTAAAATTAGTTAAAAGTAATGCATTATTAACAAAATATATACATAAACATAAAAATAATGTAAAAAAATTTTGCATATCTAAAGTAATAAAGTTACCCCAATTTGACGAAATTAGCCCACATTGTTGTCATCTGATTAATAATAACTTGATCTTCAGGTGTCACGGGCTTATCCTTCATATAAGATATATCAAATAAATAACCCAATTCATCAGAATGAGTCGCACCAGTATAATTAAAGAAGTCTTTGAAATAATTTCTTTCTCCAGAATATGAGAAAACGTAAAAAAATATATTTCCAACTCCATAATCTAAATATTTGGAAATGCTTCTGTATGCTGGGGAGATAAACATAAAATCTGAATCGAAATCAATGATATTTCTTTTTACTGCTGCACTCATAGGCTCATCACCAAAATAAAAATTTCGAACTATATCTTCCATTCCTTTAAATCCATTGGCATTAAGATTGAATTCCAATGCCAGGCTATCCCGTAAATTTTCATTTTCGTAATGTTCGTTTTCTAAAGACATATGCAGAAAGTGAGCTTCATCATTATTAAAACCAATGAGGATAGGCATGTCTTTTATTTTGAGCAAATCTGCTGTGATCCAATTTTGTGTAATAAAACTTTCGACGCCGTCAAATTCTTTTTCTATGCATGCACCAAAACTCAAATTCAATTCATTCACAACAGATATTACTGAGTGACTATCAACTTTTGCTAAATAACTTAGAGCATCATCTACATTGTCTGTCGAAAAACCCAAATGTTCTGCAACATCGACTGGTGTCGTTTTAGAGGCAGTCGTAGCTAATGGGAGTTTTTCTGTTCCGCTTTGAAGGATAGCTTGATGAAATAATTTCTCGCTGTTTGAATGCAAATGTAAACCAACTGATATAGCACCAGCACTTTGACCACTTATAGTTATCCTGTTGACATCACCTCCAAATGCTTCGATGTTCTTGTTTATCCATCTCAGTGCCAACAGTTGATCTTTTAGCCCTTGGTTGCCTGGTACTTCAGGAGTATCTAAACACATGAAACCATATGGCCCGACCCTGTAGTTGATAGCGACTAGTATAATGTTCTGTTTGACTAAGAAACTAGGACCGTATAGATATCTGTTACCGTCTCCGTACATTAATCCACCCCCAAATATCCAGACTAAGACGGGAAGACGATTGCTAGATGAAGCCGAAAATGGCACATATACATTGAGAACTAAGCAGTCAGGAGTGCCAGCTACAGTACCTTGGGGTTCCTGTACTTGTGGACAAACGGTAGTGTCATTGAATGCTTCAAATGTATTATCGAATTTTGGGTATGGTGTTGCGGCCTGAAATGAGAAAAAGTATAATAAAAAAGGAATTATAGAAATATGGACCTGTTAACAGCCCGTACCAGAAAGCTTATATGAATATTTAAGCAATTGGCTGCATGTGAATTTTTATTATTACGCACTGTCTACTACGCTCTGGTTCAGTCAGTTCTTTCTTACTGTATTGTGGTCTGGGGTGACGCTTGTAAGACATTTATGATGCGGTTGGAAAGAGCACAAAGATCAATATTGAAAATCATGACTTTCAGTCCGTTCAGATTTCCAACAAAATCTCTGTATACAACTTGTGAAGTACTAACAGTAAGACAACTGTATATACTGCAATTACTTTCAAAGCAACACAAGAAAACTCTTTACCATACTGCGGATTATAATAGAAAGCGTACAATGACAAATGTTTGCTTATCCGTCACCTGTCGTACAGCCTCTGCCAGACGGCAACATGCCTACATGTATATCTTCTTATATAATAGAATAAATAAATTAACAAACATTCATCCCTTATCTAATCGCGAAGCTAAAATTAAATTAAAGAATTTGTTGCTTGGTATAGACTATGACCAAACTGAAAAAAATATTATCATAAAGACTAAAAACTGATCATTTACACCTCTCATGTCACTCCATATACATACTTACATATACATCCATACACTTAAATACCATACACACCACAAACTACGCACTTTCATCACGTTTACTCAAATCACTGCACTTATTTTGCATAAGATTTCTGTGTTCCTCATAATGGTAGAAGACACTGACTTCTGTAACACAGGCCAAGAGCCTAGCTCAGCAGTCAGGGACTTCACATATATTTGTGTATTTTTTATGTGAATATATTAAATAAATAAATAAATAAAAAAATAAAAAAAATACTTGATAGCGACAAGTACGACGCCTGTTTAATTTTGTTTTTATTACACTAGGTGACCACAATCTGATGTTAACCAAGGCCTGCTATACATAGAACTATTTCAAAGGATAATTACGCCCTTTATTTGATTGATTGATCGTAGCGTACTTGAAGTGTACGGTTTGATTGTAACCAAGTGTTATCAATAGTGCTTTCTGTATTGAGCTTACTCAATATAGAAAGCACTATTGGCAATATTAATGTCATGTAAACTACTCTACATGGTTTCCTAATAACATTAATGCACTTACTCGACATTAAAATATTTGAATTACAAATCAGTTGTGAGGGAATCTACCTCGTTATTTGGAGGTACGAAGATAGAAGTTTAGTGACAACTGTAACAATGCCTGGCACCCTATGAAAAAAGTAAAATATCGGTTGAAAAATGTATAAATTTTAACTTAAACAATGAAATAGTTACAAATAGTAATGATGAATTATTTTGATCATTTGAAAATATAATTTAATTATTGAATTTTGATAAAGATAATTGTGTTGCTTCTGCATATAGGTTTTGCCCATAATCGCCACGCTAGGCAGGCGGGTTGGCGATATCAGAGCGTAGCTTGTCGGAACGGTGACGCTGCTGCTTGTTACCGGACTGTTACATTTAGCTACGCCTATTGGGATCAATATATCGCCATCAGTCGGTCGCCAGAGCCTTGTTCGTCGTTCAGTAGGACGTACCGCGTGTAGGTGAGATTGGCTTGCACACATCTCTGGCATGGCAGTAGTTGAATGCGAGAAACCGTAAATTAATCAAAGTAGCGTGCAATGGGAGAGGCCTATGTCCAGTAGTGGACTGCGATAGGCCGATTATGATGATGATAAAGATAATTAAAAAAAAAAAACCATATAGATTTAGGTGATAAAATTGAAATAATAACCCTTCGTTAAGAATCGGATTAAAATTTGTTTTACATAAAATTAACACAAAAAAAAATGAATTCATTTCGATATAATTGGGTATAATAAATTCATGTAAAATTTACAAAAAAAAATTAAGTCATACTAATTTGATTGGGATCAAAATTAAATTCCAATAAAATTAATTAATTTTTTTTAGGAAAATGATAACTGTATTTATTTACATATACAGCTAAGTTTTTTTATATTATTTTTATTGAATAGGATCTTTAACGTAGGTGAGCCAATATGCTTTAGCACATAGACCGGCTCGACTGGAATAATACCACGGTCTCGAATGAAACCGATGTTAAGTAATTCTTACGTTGCCAGTTTTTACCAGTGAAAATTCCCTTCCTAATCCTTGAGGGATCACAATGGATAGCACTTGTATCTCCAGAAGTTGCAGGTGTCTATGAGTGAGCTGTGGTCATTTACCATCAGGCGAACCGTCTGCTCGTTTGATTTTTATACAATAAAATAAAACTTGACCTACATTCTTAACAAATTAAAGTACATTGCACCCCTTCTACTCGTTTGATTCTTGTTACATAATAAAAATCTGCATTAAGAGAAATATTGATTGTGTTACACACTCACACTAAAGGGATTAGCTTCGTCGACCTTTCCAAAAGGTATTCCAAGAAACATCGAGTAGTCGCCATCATCAGCTTGTAGACCTTTTATCAAACCAGCATCTGTATTTACTAGTGGACCTATCCTTGTTCGCCCGGTAACCACTTGAAGAATAGCAGCAATGATAAACGTTTTAAAAACCATATTTTATTCAAAAACTTGATCATACTAAGTTTTTAGTTTTCTGTTTTCACTTTTATAACTACGAGCTCAAATCAGATGGATATTTTTGTGATAATCCTGATTAAAATTTGTCATAGAATAGAAACTTAAATAGTAACTAATATGATACGATATGATTTCATATCAAATTAGATTGTCGCATAATACAAAGATTAAACGATTCCTAAGATAAAAAAGGGGTTATATAATTTACACAATTTAATTATTTATTTTTGTGAGCGTACTACTACAGAGTACTACGTGCAGAGGCCTATGTCCAGCAGTAGACTGCGATAGGCTGATGATGATGATGATGATGAATTATTTATTTGTTGACAGTTTATGCAATCGATATTATACGTTAACTTTGCCAGTGTAATAGACCGATTTCTCTACAAATTGCATACAGAAGAATATTTAAAACAAATAGACAGAACTGATGAACTGGAGATACAAAATTATAATAAGAAGTTAAATTTAAATAAGAAGATCGGTTACGAGAATCCCGATTTGTAAAAAAAAAACTGCTTATATAAATATATGACATTGTTTTCAAGTTCACAATCGTTCAAATTGGTTTGTACCGCTTTAAGTGCAAGATTTGACATTCAATTTTAGCTTACGATTTTCTTGATCTGTCAATAAAATGTTGCCCTTTCAAATTAGTTAAATTAGTTTTATTACATAATGTTCAAGATTAATCGATTTGAATAAAAGTTATTTTAAGTAATTTCATTAAATTAAAATAACTACATATTTCTCTAATACCTAAAACAGTCAACATTGTTAACAAAGAAATGTTTGTTTTTAACTGCTTAATACACTAGTGAGCTCATTTATTAATCTCGATGTAAAAATATCGTTTTTTGATGTAATTTATATTTTATACATTTATTTGCATGAATATGGTACAAATGGACAAAACTCTATAGAGGAAGACCGTTCACTAGATGGGATGATGACATAAAAAAAATGGCTGATACACAATGGCAACATATAGCCCAAGTCCGAGAGAAATGGAAAGCTTTGGAGGAGGCCTTTAGCTGCCTTGAAGGTACAGATTTTTCAAGCCATGCCTTTCTAAGATGCATTTGTAATCCAAACTGGCAAACTCCATAAAAATCGCAACAGGACCCCAATAACATGGTTTCAGGAAAGCGAAATCTACAGAAGACGCTGTTTTGGAGTTGATTACTATTATGTTGTTCACAATATTGATAACAAAATGAAATCTATAGGTTTTTCTTGGGTCTTGCCAAAGCTTTCGACATGATCTCTGTACCCATTCTTCTGAAAGAAATGGAAGCATGTGAGACGCATTGCACTTACCATATTTCTGGACTATCTTATAAGGAGAACACAGAAAATAAAGGTTATCTTATATATTAGCGATGATGAAGATCTTGTCTTTGGTGTACCTCAGGGTAGCGTATTAGGCCCTACTCTCTTCGTTATATATATTAATCGACTTTGCAAGCTCTCAATACCCAACTGCAAAATACTTGTATATGCAGACGACACTGCACTTATTGTAAACGTAGCCCTTAGGACTCTGCATTACACTGTGCAGAGAAAGCACTAGGGATAGTGTAAATGGTTAAATTCTTACTTGCTT